GGTGTTGGGGGGTGTTTGGGGGGTTTGGTGTCCGCAGGGCTGCTCCGACAGCCGGCTGACCTTCAGAGGCTCCCGGAGAACCGCCTGCACTCGCAGGGAATGTTTTCTGTGCTGATGGCACAGGGAAAGCTTGAGGCTGTGGTGTTGGGCTGTGCTTTTGCGGGATGTAGCAGGGTCGCATGTCAGAGTGAAAGCTGGTGAGCTTCTGGAGTCTGTTGGAAACCCTTCCCGTCTTTTAATTGGCTTTTCATTGTTTAATTTGTCGTCTCTGTAATAACAGCGTGGCTGGGAAAAGCAAGAGTAGACAGGAGAATGAAGTGTTCTCAAGTGCTGCAGACTCTTTACAGAGGGATGGAGGGTCCAGTTATTATTTTAATATTGCTTTCCTTGCCTGGATACCCTCTGAAAACAGGGAGGAAAATGAGAATTGGGTGTTCAACTGAATGCAAAATGCCACGGGAGAGGGAGGAGAAAACCTTGCTTTATAAAATCAGAGTGCTGTGAAAATACGATAACTGATGACCTCACAACGTGCCTGGGGTTTTTTTTTTTGGTCTTAGAGCTGCCAAAAAAGATGCCAGGAGGAGCCGGCAGGAGAAGGCGAAGGAGGCGGCCAAGGAGAAGCCCCTCCCTCGGAGGCGGCCGCTGATGAGCAAGCCCGTGGACGACGTGTACCTGACGTGGCTCTACAGGAGACCCTCCTATGGGCTGGAGCAGGCCGTGGGCATGCTCAAGAGGTTCCAGGAGCTGGACTTCACCCACCCCAAGCAGTTTGTGTACATCAACGTCTTCCTGGACATGGCACTGCAGAAGAAGGTGGGGAGGCAGTTCTGGCACTCCTGAAGGCTTTGGGGCTGCTCAGACTGAGGGCAGTCCCTCACCTTGTTTGCATTTTCTTTTGTTCGTTTTTAGGGGACCAACTCCCTGTGGTGATGTAATTTACACTCAAGTCCTAATTTCTGTTTGTTTGCATTACTTTTTTTTATTCCTTTGCCAGAAAAAAGTGGATCCTTTTTCCAGCGGTGTCGCTCTCCCCCATCGCTTTACGGATGAGGTGAACAAGGTCTTGGTGTTCACAGAGGTGGGTGAGCCAGAATTCCTTCATTTTCCTGGGGTTTTGTGCTCACAGAGGTGTTTAAGCCAGGGTTTCTGTGTTTTAATGGAATTTTTGGTGTTCACAGAGGTGGGTGAGCCAGAATTCCTTCATTTTCCTGGGGTTTTGTGCTCACAGAAGTGTTTAAGCCAGGGTTCCTGTTTTAATGGGATTTTTGGTGCTCACAGAGGTGAGTGAGCCAGAATTCCTTCATTTCCATGGGGTTTTGGTGTCCAGCACACTCTTGCAGCTGTCCTTTGCTAATGAATCATTTTATCTCTGTGGGATGATCCCTGAGGGGTGCCATGGGTTTATTTGGTGGCTCTTTGGACTGAGTTGTTTGGAATTCTCTCCCTGAGCTCTGCTGGCAGCTAATTGGCAGTGCAGCTGTTTTTATTTTTAATTCCTTTTTTCTCTCAACAGAATGAGCAGGAAGCTGAGGTAGCTCGAGAGCACGGGGCTGCCATCGTGGGAGGAGTTGAATTAGTCAAATGGGTGTGTATTTTTCTTAAAGAATTACATAAAAATCCTAATTGAAATTGGAGCCAGGAGGGGAGGAAGCCTGATGTCCAGTGAGCTCTGGCTGGGAGGCAGTAGGCACAGAGATGTGTTTCTGTGCTTGGACCCTTTTATAAACCAGCCTGAATGCAAGGAGTGGAATTGTGCTTGTTGCAGATCCTGGAGGATGAAATCCAGGCTGATTTCTACGTGGCTGTCCCTGCCATCATCCCCAAGTTAATCCCCCTGAGGAACAAGCTGAGGAAGAAGTACCCCAGCACCAAGAGAAGTAAGGAGCAGTTCTTGCTTGCAGCTTTTAGCAGTTCCTGAGGGAGCTGGAGCCCTGGGGGTGCCCCTGGAATGGTTTTTGTCAGCATGTGGGGTTACTTTGGGAGTTAGGTTGTGGCTGTACCACTTGCCTTAGTGGAGGGAACTTTAGGGATCCCTTTTTTCCTGCAACAGGCAAACCTGGGGTAAGAAACCAGGTGCATTTGGCTGCTAGGTGCCCTTATGCTTATTGATCCTGCTGAGAGGGGAAGGAGGGAACAGGGAGACTGTTTCTGTGATCTCAGTGAGGGCACCACTGTCCTCTCTGTGAAACTGTGTTTTGCACTGGTGTTTGCTTTAATGAACAGATTGAATGATCTCTTTCCTGGTGCCACACCCTTCTGTGCCAATAAGCATTGCTCAGACAGCTTCTTTTGTTTTGTTTCTGAGCAGATTCCCTGGGCAGTGACATTCCCAGAATGGTGCAGTTCTTCAGGGAATGTCACGAGTACTCGGTGGAGGACGAGAGCGTCATCAAGACAAGGATAGCCAGAGTAAGTTGCGTGCAGAGCTCTTACATTTGCTGCCCTGAGCAGAACTGTAGTATTCAAAGAGGGGGAAAAAACCATCTCTTCAACCTCTCTCTCAAAGCTTTTGACCACTTTTTCACTAACCTCTGGAGAAAATACAACTCTTTGTTGTGTGGCATCTTCAGCTGGTTTTAAACTTTTTGGTTTTTTGGTTTTGTTTTTTTTTGGTAAGGAATAAACTATGGGTTTGTAAGTCCATGGTCAAATGCAGAAGAGTCAAAAAGTCTTTGCTTTAACCAAATAATTAAAGAATTCTAATTTTGATAACTGTAGTTCTGGATTGGAGTAGGAAGCAAGAACTCTTTGTGTTACTTGAAATAGAAAATAATTTTGGCTTATTTATTCATTTTCTCTGCCCTAAGCTCTGGTGGGTTTTTTTGTTTTCCTTCTGGTTTGCATCTTTGTAATCCTGCCTGATGTTTGGTGTTCCTCTGACTGAGGCTGGCACAGGCAGGAAGGGTAGGAAGTGCCTGGAGCTTTGCCTGGCAGTGCTGGAGACAGCTGAGTTTATAAATTCTCAGTAGCTGCTCTGAGCTGTGCATGGGCATTCCAGGGGCTTCCTTGTCTGTAGTTTTGTGTGTAGCTGGAATTCTTGGCCTTGCTGTTGGAGGAGTCTGACTTAGTTAAGAAATAAGAAGGGAACTAAAGGATTTACTGTGGGAAGCTAACATCTTCATTTGGGAACTATTTTGGAGTGCTTAGAACCCTCTGAGCATGACCTGTCCTCATCATGGAGCTGATGAGTTGGTTCTTTTGATGGATTTCATTCTGTTCAAGCTCCTGATGCCTCCAGTTCTAGGTGCTGATGCATTTTGTGGCCTTTGGCAGCTCCTTCATTTTAGTGAGATTTTTGCAAAAGCACTTGTGTATATGTTGGTTTTTTAAGAGTTGTTTTTTTAAGAGTTTTCAGCCCTTGAAGCTCCATGTTGTTACAAAGCCCTGGGAATTTCGTGTCCTGAGTGAAACTAGGGAGAAGAGTGAGCAAATCAGCATTTGGATAAGGCTGTTGATGGGATTTTTCACTCCTTCACAGAAAGGAAACCTATCCAAACGTAGAATAAGCATCAACAGCAGTGCTTTCAGATCCATTCTCCTGGGCTCCAGGCATCATCACCATGACTAACTTGGCACTGTCCTTTTGCAGCTGGATATGCCCACTGAGCACATCATTGCCAACCTGAAAACAATTATCCAGGATATCTGCACCTTCAAGCCATCCAATTTTGGTAAGGTTTGTTCAGGCTGCAGCAAACCCAAGTGGGAGATGGGTGTTCTTTACTGGGTAGTCGTGCAGTTACCTTGCTGCTCTCCAGCTCTCCAAATATCTCTAAAATTCCTGCTCCTCCAAAGGAAAGTTGATTCTTTCTTTCCTTTTTTTTTTTTAATTTGAATTTCTTAGCCAAAGGAATAATCAAGTCAACTTTAAGCAGAGGGCATCTGCTTAGCTGGACAGGAAATGGTGATTCCTGAAATAATTTTAGGCAAGGAGTTTTGTGTAAGCTAAAATCCCATTTTTTTGTGTCGATACTTGCTTAATGTCTGCCAGAAGAATGATCTCGCTTCTCTCCCAGTGATGCTGCTCAGAGTAGCAGCAGAGACCAGACCATCAAAAGCCAAGTACACATGCCTTGAGAAGCCCAAATAAAAACTATAAGGGGTTACCTGACTTAAAATATAAAGTAGGTGCAGAAAGGAATGCTTTGTTTTGATTATTTTTTAAAATGAATTTAAATCAATGTACATCAGCCCATTTTAGTGAGGATTAGCTTTTCTGCTGATTTGGAGTGTCAAGCCTGATTCTGGTGGTGTTCTTTCACTGCCTTGATGGCAAGGGGTGGAGTGACCAGTTGGGTGGTGCCCCTTGTGTTCCTAGATCCCATTGTGCAGAGGCTGGTTATCAGATCCTCCACCAGTGAAGGCTTGCTGCTGAACCTCGATGGAATCCTACCTCAGGTGGAGAAAGCAGAGGAGAAAGAGGAAGAAGATGCAGCTGATGAGGATCAGCAAAAACCTGTCCAGGAATCCGTTAGTACCTGACGTCTTCTCCGTGTGGGCCTGGCGCTCCAGCTGGGGAAGCAGATGTGAAGTGTCACTCAAATCATGCTCTGTGAGAACAAAAAATAAATGCAGCTTGTGTATTTCATGTCTAAATTGGGTGTAAGGTTGTCAGGAGCAGGAGCCTGTTGTCAGAACCCAGCAAGTGTTTTCCCCCAAGGAAGAACCGGCCGTGTTTTGTGAGGGGAGCGAGCATTCACCTTGCTCCCATGTTTCCTGGAATACCAGCTGCAGACCCGGCTCTTTGCCGCTGTTTTCCGCTTTCCTTCCAGGAGGTGGCGCTCCCGGCCTTCCCTCCTGTGCAGGCGTTGGAATTGCCTGGAATTTCTCCTGAAGTGGTTTTTTTTGGGGGGTTCTGTTGCTGAACACTTGTTCGTAAAGCTGCACCCCGAAATGTAAGATGGTTCCAGAAAGGATTGGCTGTTTACCACAGGGATGAGCTGGTCCAGATCTGGAAAGGTTTAAATCATTCCTGCTACTGGAGGCAGGCCTCCTTTTTCCAAGAGCTTACTGGGATCTGGCTGCATGGGAGTTCTTTTAGCTCCCATCAGAAGCATTTGGCTGCTGTCAGTCAGGGTGACCAATTCCTGCCAGGCCACGCTGATTATTTTTGGTTGTGTGTGGGGTGCTTTGCTCAGAGTTTGATCCAAAAATTCCCTTTGAGGTGTGTATAGGAAGGTTTCACACTGACTTAATAGACTTTGCGTGTTGCAAGTGGGAAAAACAATGCCAGTGCACTGGGATATCTTTATTGCTTAGGAATTACACATGTAAGGGATGTTATGAGGCATTCCAGTGGTTGTGTGGTGTTTGCGACCCAAAATTTAATGTGAGTTAGCTGTTGGTGTAGAAAAGCAAAGCCTGTGGTATTATCTGAATAGATTTCTCTGTTCTCCTGGCTTATTTCCAAGACTTCACTGTCCATTTTGGGAAAAGATAGGCCTGCCCTCTTTGATGGGTGGATTTAAAAAAAAAGTGATGCTTAAGCAGAAATGCACAGGTGAGCTTAAATCAGAAGCTCTCAGACTGCTGAGTGTGCTCTCAGAGAATAAAAGCATGGAATAACAAAGGTTCCTGCAGGGATCTGCACTTGGAAAATCCCAGAGCTGTGGGGACACGGGCAATCTGGGCCTCTGGAGGTCAGGGGGGCAAGAGAAGGAGCTGGTGGGCTCAGCAAGTTTTCAGGTGCAGTTCTGAACTTGTGCTCCTGATTGCTGAGGGAGTAATGCCCCTGCTCTGTGCCATGCTGAAACAGTGCTGTACAAGCTGTTGAGTGCCTTGGGACTTCCTTTTATCCTGGAATGCTGGATTGGCATGGGGAGGGGAGAGATGGAAGGGATGATCACCAAGAGATGGCTCCTCTGTAATGAGCAGAGTCCCCAGACAGGCAGAGTGGCACTTGTACGTGTGGTTCTTGGGCCAAGGTGCTTTAGAAATCCCTATGATTGTCCCACTGAGCATGGAGGCAGTGCTGCAGCACCTCTAGCCCTGCAGATGATGTATGAGGGCTTTTAGGTTTGTTTTTGTGGCCCTGCTGTTAGTTTAACTGAGGAGGAGAGCTGGGATTCAAGCTCAGCGAAACAGAAACATTTGCCCAAAGAAGGAAGAAGTTGTCCTGGGAGCCTGTGTGCAGCTGTGGGGAGTGCAGGGCTGACACTCAGCCCCAACCTGGACTTGTAGGGAATTTGTGGCTCTCCAAAAAACCTGGAATCCCTGCGGGTCAAGCTGAGTTCATGGGAGTTGTGCCACTGCTGGAGGAGCAGGGCAGGGATGTGCAGCTGCCACCAGTGCTGACAGGTTTTTAGTGCTGAGATGAGTGTTGTGAGTGATTAAATAGGATTTTGTTATCCATGTTCTGCAATACCACTGGTCTTGCCAGACTCTGGCAGAGAGGCTAATGCTGTAGCCAAAACTGTCCGTGTGGGAATAGCTGGATTGACTGAAATAGGACAGAGGAGGGAAAAAAGCTTTTGAGGCTGACAGAAAACGCTGTTAGGGATAAACATAATTTTCCAAGCAGTTATTTCTGTCAGTACCTCAGCTTGCAGGTGTCTAGAGGCTTCATCCCACCAGGACATGAAGGCAGAAGTGTCAGTGTGTCTCCTGCTTGGAAAACAAGAGGAAAATGCCAGTCTTCCCAAATTGTCAGGTACTGGGAGATGCTGGGTGAAGGTCACACGTGGTGACCCTGCCATGCCATGTTGTTTTTGTGGGCTAATCTCATGGATTTTAAAAAGGAATATTAATAAAATTGTAAAAAACCCAGTTAAAAGCTGGAAAAATATTTAAGTGTCAGGGGTTCTGGAAGTGGGGAATGCACATGATGACAACTTCACTTGCCAGAGATGGATGGATCCTTCTCAGAGCCATGCTTGTCCAGCTGTTCTGTGCAAGTGTGAGCCAGCACGTGGCCAGCTCTCCAGGAACACAAGGTATGTCTGCTCAATCTCTTCAGCCAGGGATTTGCCAAGTGGAGGAATGGCTCCTTCACACCAACTTGCAGAAAACTGACCTCTGCCTAGAGGTTTGGTAAAAGGGAGGCTAAAAGTGGTTAATTTCTACAACCCCAGTGACTTTTTGTGCCATTATGTCAAAGATCTATGGCAGCAGCTGACAGCTGCATCGGTGCTTTGCAAGTTGTACCCTTCGGGCTTTCAGCCTTTGAACGATCTCATATTTCTCCTGAGAGAGTCTGAAGCTTATTTGATAATTTTATTTGCTGCTAATCTGTAAGTAGACTCAAAACAGAAATGCTGCTTTTGTGTTCCAATAGGATGTGAAGGACAAAACTTTAGCAAACTTTGAATTTCTGAAAATTTCAGGTCTTTTGCGCTGAGTGCCAAACTTAAGAAATGCTGGAAATGAGTGCTTGCTAGAGGGAAAATCTGAAAAATTACCTAAGTTATGGGTCTGGAGTTCTGACTTTTAACAGGGTCTTTGGAGCAGTGTTGTGGGAACGGCAGGAAGGAAGGTGGGAGAAATAGGGAGGAGGAGGAGGCAGTAGCTGGACTAGGGAAACAAGTTGTCAAAGCCTAAAGAACAGCAGCAGGAAGATGAAGAACAAAAATGGTGAGAAGATGGACCGGACACATTTATATGAAGCCTGTTCTGTATGAAGCTGTTGAACACTATGTGCTTGGCTTTCATTATTTTCACCTGTTCTATATGAAATTATTGAACGCTCTGTGTGCTTGGTTTTAATTATTTGCACCTGTTCTTTCTTGCTGGTGTTTCTTTGAGTTTGGTCACGTTGTCCAGAGTTTCACCTGAGGAGTTAGAAGGGACCTGGGGCTTGTGTGTTTTTTGCTGTGGGAATTCTGGCACAGTGATTGAAGGCATGCAGTCCTGAGGAGGAAAAAAAACCCTAAAGAATCATTAGGAAGTGAATCAAAAGTGAGCAGATGGAGTTACCACGGGGAATTGTTATCAAATTGAGCTGCCATCGTTGCATTTAATCTGGTAAGCAGGAGATGAAGGCAGCAGCAGCAACCCAGCCCTGTGCAACCAACTGCTGTGTGGGAACCAGGGTACTGCTATGAAGCAGGAACGCTGAAATTGGCAGGGGAAAAAAAAATAACATTTAATTCACAGACTAGTAAAAATAAACTCACTTTCCAAGTTCATTTTAATTTGGGGTTTGGAATGGCTGTAACTTCAAATTGGGGCTGTTTTTCTTTATCCTGTGACTTGTAGGAGCCAAACGTTCATCTGGAAACGTTGGCTCTGAGAAGTGTTGAGTGTGCACTGCTGGAGGAAGCTTTTCTTGAATGGACATGGTACTGTGTGTGTGTGCAAGCCAAGAAGAAATGGACATGGAAACAGACTAGGCTTTGCTATTTCTTGTTATAATCCTACAACCCCAAACTGACACCCAAAACATAACAAATCGGAAGCTTCCAACCCGGGTTGAGAGGGTGACCTCTCCCTTCCAGCCACCGGGATGGACCGAGTCACTGGGGTCAGGTCCCACACAAACACGTTCGCTTTGCCTGATCCCGGCACTGCTGCGGCTGGGTCGGGCTGCGGGATG